AGCAGGGGACAAGTTCAGCTATGCAGCCTTTCTTGAAATGCACAAAAATAACAGTGAGTGCCACCTAGAGACCAGTGCTCCAGCAGGGAGGCAGCCAAGCCACACTAAAAACAAAGGATGTCAGGGGCTGATTTACTCCTTGCATGGATGAGGAGTCAAACTGCAGCCAACGGAGGCTCTGACTTATTTAACTAACAGGAATGTGTGTTTTGAACTGTAGCTTCTCCCCAGAAAGGCAYCAGTTCAGTGAAAGAGATTTGACTCCATACTGTTACACTGTTGYTGGGCAAAGGGCACCCCTTGGCTTCAAAACGCTCAGAGCTCTTTGGTTTGGGTAAGGACAGTTTCAAGACCAGGGTTTATTTAGGACTAGTGCATACCTAGCATAAAGTTTGAGGCAGATACTTGGTAGAGAGTGCTCGGGTCTGCACATTCCATGTAATCCAAAGGCCAGGCAGAAAATTCACAACGGCCATGAAGCCAGCACTAGTCAACAGACAGCAATTGGTGATTGAGGGCTAAACCTGTSAATCAGTGACTGACATCTGGCAAAACCTAAGAACAACATAATTAAAACTTTACACATGGAGAGCAAATACAACTTCTAACRATTATTTCTTCCACAAATAAGAGCTGAAGCTCTGCATCAGCTTGTTCAGCACTGCCTCCCCTGCCTGACACATCCTTGGACCTCGCAGGGTTTGTCTTGAGCTACTRAATGGGATCAGACTCATCACTCTGAGTCCTGCMCATGGATGTTCCAAGAACCTAATAGAGCACAGCCGAATTCCACCCAGAGGCATTTCTGCAGGTGCACAATCATTAATTGGTGCACATTTCCATATCATAAATTTAAAAAAAATACCTCAGCTTGTTTGAAATGCAGTATGTTAACCTCTGAAACTGGCAGTCATGGATACCAGCTTCAAAAAGATTAATATCAATAAGACAAAATCCCAGAGGATAGYATGCTATGGCTGCCAGTTTTTCTGGAGCTCAAAATAAGGCATTTTGAGGCTGTTTTATGGTAGTAACTTTCCAYGCTTATTTTATTAAGAAAACCCAAAGCGGTTCATAATTATGGACAGAATCCAAGTAATAGAGGAGGGCAAGGGGGATAAGAAGGTGCCAGGAAAGCTGTGAGCATGGATGGAGAGACAGAGAGGTGAGGGCAGGAAGCACACTAACACTGTCACAGTTAATTGCCAAGAGTCTGAAAAGGTTTGTTACTGAAATAAATAACAACTCTGTTAGTTCAGGACATTCTGCAGGTCCACTGAGGCTGCACAGTAACAGTGCACACAGTGAATCTTTGGAGCMGGAGATGCAGCAGCAGCTTGGAGACTCAGCCTGCACTCACTGCAGACTGTGTCAGAAAAGCTAATAATCATTAAGCTGCCATCTTTTATTTCTAATTATTTGTCTCCACAGCAGGGTTTCTCCAACCATCAAGCAAAAGGGAAGCAAGTCTCAAAGGAGTAACTGTTTTGAAGTGGGCTTGCAGCTGCCACGGCATGAATGGCTCTCCAAGAACAGCGGCAACTGCTCTGCACAGCCCATAGTGCTGGGAGGGAAAGCATCTCTGTTTAGGCTGGTTTTCAATGTCGGTTTTTAGGTCAACTAAAACAGCTTTTCTTATGCAACCGAAGCTCACTTGSTTTGGAGTTTTTGCTTTCATTTAATTAGATGGTAATTCAGAGGGCAGCACTGCTATTCTGAATGCCACAATGACAACTGTTTTCACTGCTTTACAAAGCAACAAAGTGAAAACACTGAGCTAAGCTGACCCTAGAACTTGACACTGCGTCTGAGTCTGATGGTCTCCGATGAGGGGGTGGGACAAGTGAAAGAGATACTTTGCTGCCGCATTTCCTTAAAATCATGAAATCCTTTCGGTTGGAAAAGCCCTCCAAGATCAGAGTCTAACCATTAACCCAGCACTCTCAAGCCCACTATTAACCCATGCCCCTAAGTGCCACATCAACACAGATTTTAAACCCCGCTATGGGACTCCACCACTGCCCTAGGCAGCTTGTGCCAGTGGTGGATGACTCTTTCCCCTAATATCCAACTTAAACCTCCCCTGGCACAGCTTGAAGCTGTTTTATTTCCGGCCTCATTCCCTAACCAACCCCCCCTCCCCAGCTGCCCCCTCCTGTAAGGGGYTGTGCAGAGCCACAAGGYCCCYCCTGATCCCCCCCTGCTCCAGGCTGAGCCCCTTTCCCAGCTCCCTCAGCCACTCTTGGGGCTCCAGAMCCATCCCCAGCTCTGTTCCCTTCCCTGGACRTGCTCCAGCCCACAACRTCTTTCTCKTTGTGAGAGGCCCAAAAGTGACCCCAGGATTSCAGGTTTGGCCTCACCAGTGCAGGGGGACTGCCCTAGTCCTGCTGGCCACACTGCTGCTGGTAYAGGCCATGTGTCATTTGCCCTCTTGCCCACCTGGGCTCATGTTCAGCCACTGTCAACCAACAGGAGAGGTTAAAGAAGAAAATCTCACTGAAAGGTGCTGGAAACCTCATTTGTTCTTCCACTCTGGGCTATGTATTAATAAGAACTAAGGAGAGACCCAAGTTCACAACACAAGCTCAAGGGCTCTGCAAAGCAATGTCCTTCTCCAGGTCACCCATGAATTCTGGGATACAAAGAAATTACATGTACAGATAAACTTAAAGACAGCACATGGCTTTCAGCATCACCAGTGCCACCATATGGGAAGACAGAGCCCAAACGCAGCTCATGAATGAACACCCTGCACTAAGCATCACAGACACAGCAGTGAACAATTTTTCAGCCATGACCTCACCTTGGATTTCTTCACAGGCTTTAAATAATGGCAACATATGTGAAGCCCAGCTTGAAGGTCAAGAGCAAAACCCCCAACAGTGGCTCCTTTTGCATTTTCAGCATTTTCCTTCACRGTTTCTGCCCTGCAGCTAGTCCCAGCTTCCCTCCATGGAAGCTGCTGGCGTGCTACTTTCAGGACAGATGCCCAACACTTACCAGGTCAGGAGAGAAGATTCTCTTAACTAAAACTCCTATGCATTTTAYGTTTACCTTAAGATAAGCCAGACTTGAAGATGAAGAGGCAATCTGAGCAGGTTGTTTTCTCYGGTGGGTGAGGGTCAGGGCTGTCCCTGAGCCAGTGAAACTGGTTCACCCCTACACACCTTTATCTTTGCCATCCCTAACAAGGTGCCACTTGGCTTTCTTGTTTGCTGACCAAGATTGGCACTAAGTATTCAGCRAGCAGCAAATTTCATCTCATATCAGGATCAAAATCTCCAAAGCCCATAACAAGCAGCACCAAAATGCAGYTCTCTCTGGRCAATACATGCAAGAAAACAGGCAAAAGTAACATGGAGATTGCTCTAGGGAGGGCAAACCAGGGATTATCCAGGTTATCAGTGTCTCCCACGGGAGAAATTYACCCTTTACCAGAGACTTGTCACACAGATAGGCAGACGGGTGACTGTCCTGACATTCTGCTCAAGCACTGAGCAGGAARACTCTCTGGCCAAAGACCTGCTCCAGGCTACCCTGGTGCAGCTGCAGCTAGTGTGCTGGGACAGCTTTGCCTCTCACTAACCCATTCTGTCCGTCATGCGAGTGAGCATTTGTATCTTCCTCCACAACCAAGCTCCCAGCAGCTTCCAGCTGCACATTCCACGTGGAGCAGTTTTATTCTGCATTCAAATGACTGCTGGGGCGTTTGGTGGGGCTGGAGCTCAGGACCTTTGATCAAGGCAGGTTTTCTAGTTAATTAACGATCCCACTTTTAGAGATTTAGTAGCAAAGAGCAGCTCATTCAGATCAGGAGGCAGATACTCATCTTCCAAATATAGTGCTCACTTCTGAGTAAGAACAACGGTTTATGCTTGGATTTGATTCATCTCTCCTGCCCCCCAATGAGGCATTGTATAATAATGTCAAGTTTCAAGAATAAGGCAATCTGTTCCCAGCACCTTTCTCTGCTTTCCCTTCAAGTCTTTCATCAATGAATGGCAGCACATAGAATGCTCAGGCACAGAGCAGAGCTGCTCTAAATGTGCTCAGCCCTTTCCCCTACCAGAAGAGGAGAGGGTTGTTACTGAGGAAGATGAGYGATGGACAGGAAAGGGGAAAACTTAACAGGAAGATATTTTGAATTTAAAAAAAAGGAAAAAAGTACATTTAAAACTACTGAAGTTTCCAGAGAGCACAATCTCAATGCAAAGGCATCACTGCACCCAGAAAAACAGCTTCACCAAGCAGAGCACTTCCTTCCCTCCACCCTAAGCATACACACCTTATCCTCAGAGGCTTTAATATACAAACACCATCTCACAGCCAAGTTCAGGACAAGGAAACCATCTGCAGGGAAACCATCAGAATACACCCTACCACGGCATTTTTCCCCCAGGCAAAGCAGGCTCTCYATAAACACAAACTGCAAATATCAGTGCCTGGTGCTCTTCTCCAAGCTTGACATGCATTTCCCCTCCTCTCCCGCCCGAAGGGCTTCAGGCTCCTCTCTACACCCTGCAAAGCCCCAAACTACCACGGTTTGCAAAGAGCAAGGAGGTCCAGTGCAATCAGAGAGCCCCTTTCACAACCACAGCTCTGACTTGCCACCAACAGATGTCAGGAGGAATCCTGGGAAGAAAAGGGAGCATTGCTTTTCACTCCCCAAAACTTTTCCCTTCCATTTGCTCACTTACTGGCAATTAATGTGGTTTCTATCCTCAGGTCAGTGCTCCACAGCCCAGACTGGTAGGAAAAACTACTACTGGGGGCTTCTTCATATTATAAAGGACARCCATTTCCAGGCCAAGTAAGTGCTTTTCAATATCCAAAAACTTCACATACACAGACAACAAATCATGCTGCTTGACAAGCACCAATGCTTCAGAGTTAGGACAGAATAAACAGGTCAGTTCATTATTTAAATAGGTCAGATCATTAAGTCCAAGCAACTCGTTTCAACCATTTCCTCCCACAGATCTAACAAAGCAGGTACTTACCCAGAGATGAGMGAGCCAGGGCAACCACGCAGGCGAGGCACCAAAATCCATCGTGGGGCAGTGAATAGAACAGAAAGGAGAAAAGAGACTAGTTAACAGGCAGTTCCAGTTAAATACGAAAAACCCCTGCACTCACCAGAAAAGCCCCCGAGGCACAAAGCCAAGTGCTCACACTTGTACCCACATGAGCAAGGCAGCAGAGCACASTTCGGTGTCCGACTCTTCCCAGGACGGAAGGTGTAACCGGATGTTCACGTTCAGCCACTTCTTAGAAATGTAAACACCAAGTGGGGAAGGGAAAAAAACCCCAAAACACCAGCCCGGCATTACCTAACGCTGATAACAGAGCGAGCAGTGACGCAGGCACCCCATGG